CCGCGACGTCGTTCGTTCTTAGGGGCATGTCGCGTGAAGGCGCTGTGCAGCTCAGGCGCGGTCTCGCGTGAGGCGGCTGGCCTACTAACTGGCTGCTGCTTGCCCGTTCTGGTTGCGGCGCGCGCTGACATCACGCAGGCGCCAGATTCTGTGACGCGTCCATAGTGGGCGTCCCAGAGCTCCTAAAGCTTCTGTAGTGTGGGTTCGCCGACTCCCAGGGCTTCTAAGCGGCCGGGGCCTGCGCGGCGCGAGCGTTCGCAAGGGGCGGCGCTGATGACGTCCCGTGCTGTAGTGCCTTGCATTCGGTCGAATTTTGTGCACTAGAGTTATGGTGTGTGCACCATTTCTCAAGCGCACCAGGAACCCAGTGGCCAACTTCTCCGCATTCGTTACACTCGTTTTCAACCTTCGCTGAGCCGCCGCGCTGTGGCGCTGCAGTTGCGTTGGCTTGAACCACTGGGGCGATATCACCCTTCTGCGTCGCGGTGGTGACCCGCAGTTCCTGGCGATGTAGCCGAACTAGCCACAATTGTGGCATTGGCGGTTGCCAACGGCCCTTTGGGGGCCAGCCGACTTTGCGGCGAAGCCGCGTCCCGCGTACTTGTGTGTGCTCGGCTAAGAGGCCGAACTCCAGAGCGCTTTCTGTGCAGCGCTTCTTCTCCAGGCGGGTTGCCACCTTGCTAATCTGTTCGACTGTTAGGTCGTCGTCGCCTGTATCCTCGGCCCATACGACCCTCCTGACCTCACTCTGACACTCCTTCGGCTCAATCGCATCAAGCAGCTTCTGGGCGGCCATGCCCTCTGGTCTCCGTAGCGTTTTCATCCTCTGAGTGAGGCTCGACATGCTCTCATTCGTCTGCATACGGAAGCTGTTGAACTCGTTTATCCGCTCAGTGGACTTTTCTAAAAAGAGGTCTTTGATCATGGCCCAGAACTGGCCGACTGGATCGTCATATACTTCGAGGACCGCTGGTTTCTACGGCTTGATCGGCGCAGTCGCAGCTGCGCGCATCATGCTTCTCTTTGTCACGCTCATATTCGGCGAGCTCGCGCTCGAATGCGCGGAGGCGCGCCTCATTCCGTCTGTCCAAATCGTCGGCCATGCGACTCTTAAGCTCGCCGGCGCGATTGCGAACCTGGGCCGAGGTCAATTCAACAAGGAAATAGAAGTAGTCATTCTCATTCAGATTTTCTGTATTCGGTGGCAGCTTTAGCTTTGACATCATTGTTTTATAGCTCTGTCGCAAATGCGGCACACTCATCCCGTCTGGCTCGCTAGTAAAGCGGCCAGCAAAATGCTGCGCATGCATTGTTGGATTTAGGTAGTACTACTATCGTGTGAGTACGCCCTAAGATCCTAGATGATTTCGTAGCCGTTTCATTGAGTTTGATAGAGTGGTAATTACCCCCTGGCAATTACCCCCTGGCAATTACCCCACTGGCAATTACCCCCTGGCATTCACCCCCACTGGCAGTTACCCCACTGGCAGTTACCCCCACTAGTGGCAGTTACCCCCTAGGCCAGTGTGGACCGTTAGATAAGCATCTTTGTGGAATATTGGAGGCTAGGCCGTTGATGTATGAGTTGACTCACATAGAGCTAGAGTTGGACTCGACCAAGTAGACCTAGCCACGGATTTATGACTTGGACGATTGACTTGTATTAGTTACTCATTCCTAGTAGTTGTGCTTGACTTGAAACGCGCTCTAAGGCGCTTGCTTTCAACATGCCGACATTGTGAAGAGGCTTGGTAAATTACGGGTCAAGAGGTTTTACCGGCTAACATGATGCGCGTTATGTATATTGCCAGGTGATGCACTCTTTTTGGTTTTCAATGTACTCCGGAACCGATCGGGTCTGGTTGCAACGAGGACTAGGCCTCGATGTGTTACGGTGTTGGCGTTATGCAAGAGACTACGCTCTAATATTTTATACAATCCGTAGCCGCCGATCGGAGCTGTGGGGAGGCAAATATCGATCGTAGGATGGCAAGTTATTTGGTGAGTTATGCACGCAATATCGACCGTCCGATTGTTAGTTGAGTCAACTGATTCAGGAGCCCCGACCACTGATATGTAGTAGCCCCGACCTAGTATTACGGTACTACCGACCATCTCGGTGTATAGTACTACCGACCACGAGGAAGAGCTGACATGATCAGAACAAAGCATGGGAGCTTTCGCCAAATGAACGAGACAGAGGCCAAGTTCGTCATAGCCGATGCCTTTAGAAGCGCATGGATTCGTTATAGAACCCCTTGAAACGGTTGAGGACCTAGAGCGAGCGAGGCCTCAAATGCACAAATTGGGTGCTAAACCTGTTTCAGTGACAAACCTAATATGCCTCATCAAGAACGAGGCCGAAGGACTTGCTTATTAATAGCCGTTTGTTTGTCTGCCCGCTCCCTCTCCGACTACAAACATGTCCATCAATGGCTGGTCTTTTTGTGAAAAGGCCTGACAAGAGATGCATCCATGTTCTTACCAATCCAGAGATGCAACGTACAGGGTCATGTGACCCGACCAAAGCAACCCATGCTCATCTTACGACCAAGTCGCAGGTACGTGCTTCTTATGGAGGCCTGCCAAAGCTTACGAGGTGCTCAAAACCTTACCTCTTGCCGATCCAATGTACATACGTGTCCATTCTCGCGCCCGGCTCGAAAGTGAAGAGCGGGATGGTGGGAATCTGGGGGAACTTGACCCCCACTTCCAGTGGACGGCCGCCAGATGGCGCCGTTGCTTCGTCAAATAGCGCTCGTCCTCAAATGTCCACAGCAGCGCCTGATAGCAGAAGGAGTCTTCTTATTGGGCCACTGCACAAAGGCCATGTTTGAGAAGACGCTTGTGTATGTTGTTAGGAAGAGATGGATTGATGGTGTGTTGTCAATGTTGGCTGCCCCACAGCGAAGAAAAAAATAATGAAAAGAGCTTATAATTCATTAGGCCCGAATGTCTGACGGGGATACTGTGACCAAAGCGTTCCATGACGCCAGTACTGGCTTCCAGCACAAGCTTGAATTGGCCTCTTCACTAAATTTCTAATAGATGCAGTGCATCCAATCTCTTTGACAACGAATGCTACTGATAGCTTGTCACTGTTGCAGCGCAGCGCAAATGACCCTTCTAGTGCTCGTTTTTGTCCCTACTTTCTTCCATGGGATGCCGCGCTCAACCAAGAAAGCACGCTTAAGCCTTTGCTACTCGTGAGTGCTTACCGGCGTACCATTTTTCCTTCATGTGGTCCACACCACTTTAGCAGGGTGGTGCTTCCCGGGATGTCTCCACCCGACCAGAGGATTTCGCCCTTGTGGACCTACAGCAGGTGCTCTGTCTCGATGCGCTTCCGCTAGAGCACAAATTTCTCGTCCCGCATGCATGCCAGTGAGGCCCGTGCGGATGGGCTCCTCGAGCGGCTGTCCTCTCCAAGCCTCTCCTCGAACTCCCGACGTGCAGCTTCCAGGGCCTTGTTGCACGCATGACGGAAAGAGGGGGTGGCATCAGGAGTCCTTATAAAAAGCAGTCTAGTAGTGAACGAAGTTGGTGGTGCTCCATTCAGCACGTTACAGCGATGACTTTTCAAAGTGATCAAGACGAGAAAAGGCCATCTGTGACCTTCATTGGAATTCGGTGATTATAGTCAGCCGAAATACGTCAGATGTCAGGGTTCGGCCCGAGTTAGTGTTTTCAGCGCGAGCGCCGGCGTGCGTGTACGGTGGTTAGGGGGTTAAGCCGTTTGGCGGTTTGAAGATTAAGCGGTTGGAAAAGCTGTCGGTGTCAGCCGTAGATGAGTAAATCGAAGGCTAAGATTGAGTACGACTGTGAGCTACGCTAGCAAGACTGATTGTGTGTCACTTGGGATAGTAAGCCGAGTAGCCTAATGAGCCTAGTGGAACGGGAGAGACCCGTGGAACATATGGAGGTGAAAACTAATAATGTGATACATTATCCTAAGACAAGTTTGTGGGAAGAAGGAAGCCGCTTGTGAGGCGCTTCGTGTGTTCCTCTCCAAATGCTTGGCTGCCATCAATATGTGATGAGCATGCATGGGTGCCGGGCAACACAATACGCTTCAACAATTACACTACGAGTCCCTTACCATGAGTTTTAACAACCTTGTTGATCGTTGCTGCAACGCCCTGAAAACTAACTGGGAATTGGCATCAAGGAAAAGACGGCAGCCGATTCCACAGTGCGTGTAAAAGCTTTTGTGCGCAGACGGCATGATAATCAGGTATGACTGACACCGTTAAGAGGTTAGGAGGACTAGTGCTTCGTCCGGCCAAAGCAGATTCCGAGGATGTTAGAGGGACTGCAGTACACCAAATGCGGCGTGATTGATGTAATACTCCCCTTTCCCCACCGCCAAACAGAGCCCTCGAGCACCGGGCACATAGACCAAGCACCGAAAGCTTGAAAGCAGACATAAAGCAACCCACAGTACAGGCCCATCTTCCAATCCACTACATTTTGCTCTTTGGAGCACGGCCCACGCCCTACTGCCGCACGCCTGAGGATGCTTTCGAAAGACGCAGTTCGATGGGTAACTTGATGCAGCTGGCGGAGGGCTATTGCTGCTGGTGGAGGTTGGTTGAGTGGCAGTCGGCGGCGAGGAATGTTGGATTGGGGGGAGGCCGTGAGGGACACGCGCTCGTACAACGCAGGCTTCCTTTGCAGGTTGATCACCAAGCCAAACGAGATAATGGACCAATTTCAGTAACGTGTATAAGAAGGCACTGATATCGCACGGCGGAGGAACTTCAAGTCTGCAACCCTCTGGATCAAAGTACAGCCACATAAAAAAAGGCAGCGAGTGCAGCCAAAGTGCTCGGGAAAGTACTCACTGTAGAGAGGGGGCCGCTTCTTACGCCAGCAGCATTGCTTTGCACAGGAAATGGCTTGCAGATATATGCGTAGAGTATTAGATAGACAAAACAACTGATGGCAAGTCGTATCACACAGAAAGGGTTCGCCACACACTGGAAGTATCCATGCGGCTTCCATGCGGTGTGTATAAAGAATACGTAATGCATGGATACGGTGCCTTGCCAGCTGAAGCAAGATTCAGGATGAAGTGTAGCCATACCAATGTCCGCAAACTTCGGGATGGGCAGTCAAGCGTTCCCAACAAAGACACTCCATCAACAAATCTTGCCAACTCAGAACCCTTTACCCTTTGCTTCTACTAGCAATCATATAAAGCATGAACCAACTTTCAAGTATCTCAAAGAAAGGGTTTTTAGATCTTGACGCAATCTGCAAAGGAATCAAGAGAGTTCCTGCCAGAAATGGTGGCCTTTTCACGCAGTTCGTCACGTGGCGGCAAGAACACGGTTGCTCTATGATGCAATATTACCAACCCTCTTCTTTTGTAGCTGGGCCCGACCCAATTTCGATTCAACTCTCATGGTCCTCTCAGCAAAAGGGGTCCTCGTCAAAGTCAACGTTGGTCTAAAGCTTTTGTTAGCCACTTTGTTCAAATAGGGAATGAACGACATTCTTACTGGTGGGAAATGACATCCACACTCTAATGTCCACCCTGCAATGCGTCGCCCTCCGCCCCACAAACCTCCAATCCCATAGCCCGCCGAGCGTTGATTCTGAGATGCTTGCACCAAGCAGGCTCCCCGTTTCCAACCCTGCACCGCTGCCGTTTGAAGACGATACATCTATCCTGCCCAATTCTGCTGTTGCCTGACCTTCCGGCTCAAAGCTCGCGTCCTCTAGCTGGATGTTCTCTGCATTTCTCAAGCCTGTCGCCATGCTGTCCGGGAACTTGTCCGCTGCTAGCATGTTGCGGTGATATTTAAAAATGGCGTTAGAGCTTAGGGTTGCTTTTCAATTGCATTGACACTGACGGCTGTACTCACCGAGGCTGCGACTGCATCCCACGTTTGTCATCGTTACTGCAAGCGGCTATGTTAA